TGCTTTCATCTATCAGCTATTAATTGCTTTTACAGCGAGCTGGTGTGCAGTGTGTGGAGGAAGCAGAAAATAACATAATGCTTCCACAGACTAAATAGAGAGTCTTTCTCAGGCGTGTAATTGAAATCAGCCCCCTAGTTCTTCTAATAGAAGAAACATAGGTATGAGCTTTGGGCCTGACGCGTGCATCTCCTGCCACCCACCCCTGCAGTGCTGGCCCTTAGAATGGGAGGCAGTGCAGGGCCACTGCAGGATAGTGGTTTGCATTGGTAAACCCACTGGTATGACCTATGTTCGAGTGAGGCCTCTGAGAGGTGCCAGCCATCAGTCAGTCACCTGTTCTGCCGAGCGCTGAACTTCACCCAGAACCGTCGACGTGGGCGGTGGTGCACCTAATAGATGACAGTGGAGAGAGAACAGGGTGTTACTCAGTTGCCTGGCTTCGTGTTGAATGGTTTCTGCTATCCTAACAATTTGATTTCAGATCCTATTTCAAACTGAGATGTTCAGATCATTAAAATTTGGATTGTAAGTGACTAGGCAACAGAATGGTAAATTTAAATAATTAGAACAACACATTTAAATAGATTCATAAATCTAAAGAATATAAATAATTAAAATAATAAAAAGAGCCTGTCTGGATTCTTAGGCGTTAGAGCTTCAGGGTATGTTAGTATCAGGATCTTTTGTTATTAAAGCAAGCCAGCATTCAACTTAAATTTTTTTCTTTTTCAAACAAATGTGAATGTGTTATCTTGGTAGGCATTTGAACTTTCTCTTGATTCTGTCCTTTACTGTCGGCTGCTTCCAGATAGATACTGCCTGTATTTCTTGCTTTGGAAAACTGTCCTTCATCTTACTCTTGACAGATCATGAGTTGCATCATCTTACATAGTTTTAGTTTTGGCTCTTGGGTGTTCTCGTCAGCAGTGAGTGCTGCTGTTGGGAGTTTTTGAATTCTACTTTCTGTACTAACCCTTGATCTCCAGAACACTCCAGCACTAAGTAATCACATTGGAACCTCCTATCAGGTTTGTGCCCTTGTCATAATAGCAGTGGGTCAGAACAAACTGTGATTTCCTTATTAGCAGAAGATTGTACTCACCTGCAGTATGTTTGCCTAGACATGTGGTGACTCCAGAGAAACTAAGTTTTTCTAAGGATGTGTGTACGTGTGTGTGTGTGTGTTTATTTTTCCCAGAGGACTTAGTCAGTTGCTCCTGCTTCTCCCCTACACCTCCCTTTCTCTTTTTGTTTCCTTTTTTTTTTAATTGGACTTTTGTAGGATGGGGAAAGAATGATGAAGACTTCCTTTGTGCTCTAGTCCTCACATCAGCAGTCGTCACCAGCAGTGGTCACTGCTGGGTGAGGGAAAAAAGAGCAGACACTGATAAATGAATAAGGTGATTTCAAAATTCACTCTATTTCTGAACATAGCGGTGAGAACCATATTGAACAGGAAAATATAGTCACAGATTTTTTTTTATCTCCCCCAGATTTCCATCTTCAAAGCTACAAACGTAGGCAGAACAAAGAGATCCCAATTTTGGGGTTCATATTTCCTTTTGAGAGTTTATTGAGTTATAAGCAAACTTTAATTAATTAATTTAGCCTTGGAAACAGTTTTATTTTTGAACTTGGGTGTGTTTCAGTATGCTGAGATTTTCAAGCATTTCAGATTAAAAAAGGAGAAATATATTGATAAAACTGAGATTTCATAATTCAGGCTGTCTTATCTCTGCACTGTCCACCTGTCCAACCCCTAGTGCCTTGCAGATGACTCTGGGGGCTGTCTATTTGCTCCCAGGCCCCTGTCTACCTAACCCTTGCTTCTTTGGAGCAAATACATTGGAAAAGTAATTTGTTTTATGGCCTGTTTTGGAATGAGGGGAAGAAAAGGCCAGGATTTAAGATGAAGATGACGAAGATTATGTGCAAAGAATGGGGAGGAAGCTGCAGGGAGAAATCGGAACGGTTGCTTTGTGCTTGTCGGGAGTGCCTGGCTCAGACTCTGATGACCTTGCCTCCCTGTGCATGTCAGTAACACTAGATCTGAATTTTTTTGAACAGTTTTCTCTGTGGCTGTATTGGATACAGCACCTTGCCTTTTGTCCTCATTTATGTGTTAATTCCTAAAAGCTCTGTGGCCAGTTGGAAAAAGAGTGTGCTAGGGTTTTATGTTTTGGGGACCTGGGATCTCCCCCTCCAGTTGGATGGTTTTTCTCTAGGTGTTCAGATGCTGTGGGAGGTAGAGTAACAGTCCCCACGGAGAAGTGGCCAAAACTCAGCTAAGGGAGGCCTTTCGCACCATCTTTGTCAGGCCTGGGTAACCCTTCGTTAAGTTAGACAGGCTTTACTCAGCTTCCCCGGAACAGTTTCTCATGTTATTGATGGGTCTTGAAAGTGGCATTTTCTATACATGGGCTTTGCCTAGAAATAAGTGTTCTAAAATGTTCTAAAATGGTGAATGATTTGTGTTTGCTGGGCCTGGCCTCTCACGACTGTCACTAACTTTGGAAGGCCCTTTTAGAGCAGATCTAGCTCTAACATCTCCCTCCCCCAATCCTTTTTAAGTTTGCTACTTTGCCTGGGAAGAATTGCACGTGTGCTCTGTGAAACGCAGACCCTGCTAATTATCAGGGTTTTTTTCCCCCCTCTTAATTGATTTACAATTCACATACCATAAAACTCACCGTTTTAAACTACAGTTCAGTGGTTTTTAGTGTGTTCACCAGGTTTTGTAAACTGTTAACACTAATTCTACAACATATTCGTCACCTCCAAAAGAAACCCTGTACTCATAAGCAGTCACTCCCCATTTACCCACCTCCACTGCCAGCTCCGGGCAACCACTAATCAATTTCTCATTCAAACTTCTGTTTTATATTCCATTGAAATCTGTTGTCCCTGTAAATTAATGGTTAGATGAAATGTTGCAGGGGCAGAGGGGTGGAAGCTACGTAGATCAGCTCTTAGGGGCTGGCCTCTTACATTCAGCTTCTCACTTCTAGGCCCCAAAGGGGAAGGCGGTCTGCTGAGCCTGGAGTCTGTCACTGTTGGTGGAAAACTGACCAGTCGTCTACAGTAGGGAAGGTCTGGTAAGGGCAAGGAGTTGAGTCTGACCAGATAATGAAACGAGTTGATGGCAGACCCCCTTTTGAATTCCACGTGCAGAGTCACCTTCCAAGACATTAGTTCCTCACCACTTTGTCGTTCTGTAGCTTTTAGAATAATCAGAATTCAAATCATACAGAACTTTGTCAGTCAAAACCAGAAAAACAGGTAGCTCAAACAGATTGCAGGCCTGGATATATGTGTCAAATATGCCTTAAATAAATGCTTTGGATTCCTGCCTGTTGTGCTGGTAGGAGATCGCAAAGTATGCAAGTTTCGAAACCACGTGGGGGTTAATTTAAAGGAAGGGAAAGTGCCAGTCCTCAGCAGTGTTCACCTTGGCCATCAAGGAAAGGGTACGACCTTGAGCAGTGCTGGTGAATTACAGGGTGTGTAAGGGAGCCCCAGGGAACCAGGGCCTGCTTACCTGTGCTCTTGGATGCTAATAAAACCTTGTTAGCTGAGTGATGTTTTCTTTGTTGCTCAACTCTCCCAGCCTGTCCCAAATGGTGTCTTAAAGAACTGGAGTGCCAGACCTCCTTCCAAAGTTTCTACTTTCTCAGTCACTCTGTTTTTCAGTCTAAGTACTACATGTGGCTCTCGTTTGTAGATTTGCTTGTCAGGCAGTTCCAGGCCCTGGCGTACTTCCTGTAGGCGGCTGTGATGGAGGACAGGGAGAATGGACTCCCCAGAAACCACGGCTCTAGGGTGTGGGTGTTCGGGAAGCAGGGACATATGCACAGAAATCTAAGCCACCCGCGCTGGGAGTGGTTGTTCCTGTGCAATAAAAGGCCGTGATTGTTGAGGGGAGGTACCCTTTTGTCTCCTGCCCCCTGGCTCTTGTATAGATGACAGGTGCTGGAAGCTTGGAGTTGGTGCAGCTCTCCCTCCTCCGATGTGGTGGTTTCCCGTTCTGGAATGCATTGTTTGGGATGAGTGCATCAAAAGGTCGCCATTGAAAAAGTGCTTTGAATAGAGTTGGGGTCCATTTGAAACAGTACCCTCTTTATGAAAAGATTAATTTCCCTCAAGGATGGTTAGGTTTTTCTATTTATTCTGCTAAAACATAGGTGAGGGGAGGGATCTAGAGAAGAATACTTTCTTCTCCATTGAATTATATCTGACCCCCTCTTCTGTTTTTAATATTCAGTAGTGCCTGTCCTTGCCCTCACCTCCAAAAAATTCCTAGTAGGGAAATAAATAAGTGGAAAATGAAACTTCTCTCATCCACCCTTCCCCTTCACCCCATGGATTCTCGCTGCTCTGCAGTAACTACTTTTTACACATTTGCTATATTCCCTTCCGGTAACTATTCAATAAATGTGTAAATTAATCTATCCATATATCTGTATTGCTTTTTAAATTGCATATCCAAACCCTTTTAGTAACAGCTTAAGGAAGTGACATGATTGTACTTCTAAGCAAGCTGAACGTCTCTGCTTCAGTAAAAAATGTTGCCTAGATATTTTCACTATAAACCTTTGAGGTGTGGAGACTTGCAGAGTGTTATCATGAACTGATGCACATACCCCAGAATTGGACCTGCCTGCCACCTGCGAAGGAGCTTCCTGTATTCTGGTGATTGGTTTAGGATTGTTGTAAAAATTGCAAATCTGTCTTTGTTAATTTCCTCGGAATATCACTTTAAGAAGAGGGGCCATGTGTAGTACAGGGTGTCCCTTTGGGGTGACAGATGGGCTTTTATGGTTGCTGCTGAATTCTTCTGTTTTGTCCTTCTTGGGGGTCTATCGGTTCACAGTCAAAAGTAGAGCTTTAATGAAAATGGGCGCCCTCTCTGGAAATAAGAACTATTATTTCAACTAGTGAATTCCTGTTTCCTTAACATATTTTTTTTTCTCTTTTAATTTTTTAAAAAATTTTAACAGCAAGCCAGGGCTGAACAGGAAGAAGAATTCATCAGTAACACTTTATTCAAGAAAATCCAGGCTTTACAGAAGGAGAAAGAAACCCTTGCTGTCAACTATGAGAAGGAAGAGGAGTTCCTCACTAATGAGCTCTCCAGAAAATTGATGCAGGTAAATTACCTTTTCTCCCCACTCCTTTTGCCTGTTTTCCTCTCTAGGTAAAAATAACTTTGATAAAGCATTTGGCTTAAAACATTTGCTGCTGAGGTTGTTAGGCGAAATTCTTGGGAGATTAAAAATACTGAGTAAAGGTGGCAGCAGCATAGTACTCAAGACTATGTTCCTAGCTCATCTGCTTAGGTAAGGTAAGATTTTTCATACCTTGACGTTTCGAGATATTTCTGATGAGCCTAAGGCCTTAGCACAGGAGTAAACGCTGTATATGTTTAGTATTTTGGAAATAAGAGAATTAATACCAAATATGAGATTTCTTTCTCCTTTTATATTGAATCTGTAGTGAATACAGAAACGTTTCTGGCCATCAGAAATGGCTCTTTTGCACTAATATATGCGAACACCAAGTGAAATGCCACTGTGGGGGAAGAAAAATAAATGTATCCGTGAAAATTAAAATTATACACAATCAGTTGTGTTCAGAAGGGTGAGTAATATGTTACTGAACAAATCAGACTTCTATTGAAACTTAACATTAATCACCAATAGTGTATAGAAGACACCACACAAAACATAATAGAAATTTTGATTTTTCTAGTTCAGAGGTTCTCCCCCTCCCCCTCATTTATTTTCCCCTTGAACGTCACTAGTAAAGCACAGAAATTAGATTGTTACTGAACCAAAACTTGGGTCTGCTCATACAGTAAAGCCAATCCACCAACACCAGGCTGTAGTGAGGGAAAGTGCAGCGTTTATTGTAAGGCGCTGCAGAAGGCGTCGGGGACAGCTAATGCTCAAGAAGCCCGAACTCCTGTAAGGTTTTTGGGGAAAGAAGTTTTCATAGGCAAAATTTGGTGTAGAGGGGCCGTAACCCTCCTCTGGTTAGTTGGTGGTGAGGTGACTGGGTGGTGCTCCAGGAATCTCAGTCATCAGCCTTCTGGTTCCAACCAGTCTGGGGTCCCCGAGCTTATGCTCAGCCTGAAGTTACTGTCCCTGGGTGAGGGCCTCAATGCCTGCAGAAGAACTCAGAGATCATATTGAATTGTCATGCACATCCCCTGAGGAGGAACCAGGCCAGGCCCGTGTTGCGCTATTGTTCTTTCTGCATTCCCTCACCCTCTAATTACTGACTATTTGAAACTGCCCTGTGGAACTCAGAGAAGGTCTAGGAGACTGAAACCTTCTTCCTACAAACAAGAGATGAGGGACACAGAACGGCCTTTGTACTGGTAAGGGCTCCATAGAGTTGCCCATGGTGTCAAAGTTTGTTTAGGGCAAATATTTTGTGGGTTTTTTTTGGTATGAACTTCAGAATAAGTAGGACATTGAGTTTTCATTATTTAACATGGCATGTCTAAAACAGTAGTGGGCTTAAAAGTATCCCAGGAGGGCCATTATTACCATTTGGTCAGATGGCTGTGAAAGGTAGAAACACTTTCTTGTATTTTCTATTTACTGGCTTACCAACAATTTCATTAATTTGATTAAAATATGTATCTTAGTGAGGTTGTAATAAAAGGATATTTTTCTTACCTTCCAACACAGGGAATGTTTGCAGAGGAGACCAGAAGCTTTGGTATAGAGAGTTTAGGGTTAAGACCATGCAATGGTCCAGGCAGCTTTTACCCAGTCTTTCTTGAAGTCTGATTTTGCTACCTAACTACTGAATAAAGATATCATTATAGTCTTGCACAAAGTTTGATTTATATGGTAGCTGTTGGGATGTGAAGGGTATAGGTACCCAGGCGTTATTGTCTAGCAGAGATTTATGGCAGAATTTCTGCGTTGAAACGTCTTGTTTATTCCTGCGCACTCTCATTCAGAGAAAAAATGATGGAGAAGGTTAGTTTCACCCTTGACTCTCTCACCTTGGCAGCATTAGACAACTGAGTCTGTATGTTGCTTTCAGAACTATAGGGATGCAATTAAGATTTGCTTTTCTGAGTTTAGTGTGTAATCAGGTGCTCTAATTTGTAACACTGCAAGGAACATTTTTTGTTTTCAACTTGCATAGTTGTTAGTATTTGGAGTCTTTTACTAAAAGACATTATAAAATAGTCAAAACGAGCCAGATCATGCTCCTTTTATCTGTAAAGACTCGTTTTCATCGTGAGCGGTTCTGGAGTGTGTAGTTGATAACCAGCCTCTCATTCAGTTATTACCGTGACATACCTGCTTTCCGAGGACATTGCTATCCCTTAAAATAAGCTACAAAAGAAAAGGGAAAGCATAAGAGCCATGTGCAGCAGAAAAGGAGGTTAGGTATAGCAATGCACTTGGCATAAGACGGTTTGTCTTGGCATAAGAAGGTTTGAACTTAAAACTTAAGTGCTGATCATCCTATAAATAAAGCCATAATCTGGAGAAATGTGAATTTTTTCGTAAGTCTTACATCAAAAAAAGTTTTACTTGGTCAGGAGAAAAAAATTTTCATATATTAAAAACTTACTTTTTTTTGAGGGTCATGGATCTTTTTAAAGAGACTGAATAATACACAAACTGAACAATGCAAGAAACTCTTCCTGCCAAAAGTAGTCTGTAATGTGTCGCACTGGTCTTCAAGTGACCAAGTCTTGTGTTTGCCCTCAGTCACAACATAGCGTCCAGTACAAAGTGTTGAGTCTGTTCGAGGGGCTTGAGGTGGGTCTGTAGCTTGTTAGTCATCTCCCTGGAGAATCTGGACAGATGGATGATCAGCATGTCTCTGAGGCAATCACTTCTGAATCCAGCTTGGTTCTTAGGCTTTTAAAATATATATTTAGTGGTAAAATATGCATAACATAAAATCTGCCATTTCAACCATTTCTGAGTGTATAATTCAGTGGCATTAAGTATATTCACATTGTTGTGCAACCATCACCACCATCCTTTCCCGAAACTTTTTCAAAATGAAACTGAACCCATTAAAAGAAATCACCCCTCAGCCCCCACTCCTGATTCTTACTTAGACTTTTGAAAGGACTTGGGTGGCAGGTAGTTTGAGGTTGAGGTCTCGGGGAAGCTCCGGAGCTAGCTTTATTCCGTGACATGGTAGGTGACCTCTCACTTTAGACATCAGGGGTCGCGTCATGCCATTTTGTGCCAAGTATCCGAGAGTTCCTCTGTCACTGGCCAGCTGGAAGGATCTCATATAGCTGTGGGGAGGAAATCCCCTAGGCTTTCCTTAAGGATTTCAGCCAGTCCTTTGTTGAAGGCTGACATTTTCTGCCACCCATTGTGGAAGAACTGATCTTCATCTGGAAGATTTTTAGAGTAATTGGTACCAATAGGCTTTTCCAAGTGTGTAATTACTTTAATATGACTCTCTAGGATGTTTGCTCCTGGATAAGACTTTATTATGATAGCCTACGAAGAGAAACTGTGCTGCAGGTGGCACTGATAGACAAATGAGTAACTTGACCTGTGCACCAGAGGTGTGTTTAGCATTTTTCACCCAGAGGCCCCTTAAAGGCTATTTATAGAACAATCTTGGTTTTGTCACAGTGCTATGGCTGTTGTCTCCGAGAGTGAATGAACCATGCTTTTATGCGCAGTTCAAAGGAATTCTTTTGTCCTGAGAATAAAATGATATTATTGCCATAGAGGAGATACCTTACTTCCCATCTGCCGTGGCAGTGGTGGTACCTAATATCTTTAAAAACTGAATCAAGTTTATTTAAGTATAGATGAGTGAAAGTCCCTTTGCCCATTTAGAAGATCAGGCTTTGGAGATAGCAAAAAAGAGCATGCAGCTTTTCTCCATTGTTTTTGTGTATGTCCACTAGGTAGACAGGAATCAGGTAGACCTTGATTTTGTGAAAACACTTGTCTGAAAAATCTGCATCCTTTTGAGCCCAGACCATGGGATGGATGACCTGACTGGTGGGAACTGTCCTAAAAAGAACCTTCTGCTACATTTGCTGAGTCCAACACAAGCCTGGCATCGGAACTAAATTCACCTCTAGAATACCTTGAAAAGATACCTTGTAGTTTCATCAAATTTGAAATTAAAATTTATAAGAAATGTTTTGTGAGCTAACTCTTCATCAGAATTTGATATATAATATCTATGTTAGAAAAAAAAAAAGCCTAAAAGACTGTTCCCTGAAATGTTAGCTGTAATTATACTTGGGTGCTGAGCTTACAGGTTATGTTAATTTTCTGGTGCCCTATTCCTTCCTTCTCATTTTATAAAAGGAACATGCATTACTTTTGGAATTGGAAAGTGTCTTACTTCCTGAAAAAGGAATGTAAAAATTCTGATGCTTGTTTTGTCTTTATCTTTTGAAACCTCCTGTGTCACTGACTTTGAGAGCTCACAGTCCTCCTGTTGTTAGTGAACCAAACGTGGGCCTGTTAACCTGACGTGCAGCAAAGCCAGTCTACTGATACCAGGTTGTGGTGAAGGAAGGTACAGTGTTTACTGCAGACCAAGCAAGGAGAACAGGCAGCTCATGCTCAAAAGACTCGAACTCCTCAGTGGCTTTTAGGGAAGGGTTTAGTGTGAGGGAGAGGGTCTCAGGGTGCCTGATCAGCTGGGGTACAGTTCTCTGATTGGTTGCTAGTAACAGGGCGGTGTTTCAGAAGTCTCAGTCATCAATCTTCTGCTTCCAGCCAGTCTACGGTCTCCATGCTGGTGGTCAGCATCCAGCCAACTTCCACCTGGGTGGGTTTTAGTATCTGCAAAACAGCTCAGGGATATGGCTCAGGATAGTATCCACAGTCCTTGAGGGGGAACTAAAGGTTCTTGACTTTGTTTTATGGCTGAACTGTTACTATTTTGTCTTTCTTCACTCTTTTCCCACTTCTCTGATTAAATTTGCTCTTTGGAACTCGGGGAAGGCCTAGGAGGCTAAAGCTTTTCTACAAACGAGATAGGGACACCTGGGTGGGGGCGGCTGCGGGGTGTCTGTTCCCAGGAAGGTTCCTTGGGGTCCTGCTTGGTTTCAGTATCATAGTTGCATCTGTTTGTCGTGGACAGCAATGCCCTGGAGCCCTCTGCAGAGTTAGGCTCAATT